TTCCTTTGTTCCAGCAAACCCATCACATGGACACATCTTCATTTGGTTATTTATAGGTCTCCTAATTTAGTCCATCTACCAAAGCCAGAAGTCCCAATGGCTCTGAAGTTTGGCGCTGTGACCTGGCACCAATGCTGCAGAGTCCCTTATCTCTGTTTCATAGATTCATAGATTCGTAAGCATTAGGGCTGGAAGGGACCTCAGAAGATCATTAAGTCCAGCCCTCTGCCCAAAGGGAAGAAAAAAGCAGCAGGGGTCACAGCATCCCAGCAAGACAGACATCCAAATGTCTCTTGAAGGTATCCAAAGTAGATGCTAGAACCACCTCCAGTGGCAGTCTATTCCAAACCTTGGGGGCTCGGACAGTAAAGAAGTTCTTCCCTATGTCCAGCCTGAAACGGTCACGGAGAAGTTTGTGACCCTTCAATCTTGTCATTCCTTGGGGCGCTCTGGTGAACAGACATTCCCCCAAATGCTGATAAGCACCTCTGATAAACTTATAGGTAGCCACCAGATCACCCCTGAGCCTGCGCTTTTCCAGGCTGAAGAGTCCGCTAGCTCTCAGCCTCTCATCGTAAGGTCTGTTTTCCTGACCTCATATCATGTGCGTGGCTCTCCTCTGGACTCTCTCAAGCTCCTACACATCCTTTTTGAATTGTGGAGCCCAAAACTTGATGCAGTACTCCAGCTGCGGCCTCACCAAGGCTGAGTACAATGGGAGAATGATGTCCTGGGATTTGCTTGAGAAGTATCTATGGATGCAAGTCCATATTTTTCTTGCTTTACTAGCTGCAGCATCACACTGAAGGCTCATGTTCATCTTGTGGTCAATCCTGACCCCCAAGTCCCTTTCATCCAAAGTGTTAGCCACTGCCAAGCCTATAAGCATGCTGCTGGTTTTTCCTCCCAAGATGGAAAACCTTGCATTTTTTGGTGTTAAATGCCATCAGGTTTTCATCTGCCCATTTCTTGAGCCTGTTGAGGTCAACCTGGATTGCCCTCCTGTCCTCAGGTGTGGATGCTTTACCCCAAAGTTTGGTGTCATCGGCGAACTTGGTCAGTCTGCTTCTGATGCCAATGTCCACATCATTAATGAAGATGCTGAACAATATAGGCCCAAGGACAGAGCCTTGAGGGACCCCACTGGTCACAGGGCACTGCAACGATTGACTTCTGTCAACCACCACTCTCTGGGTCTGATCATGTAGCCAATTCCCCAGCCAGTGGATCGTGGAGAAGCTGAGGCCGCAGTTGGCCAGTTTTGCCAAGAGGCGATCATGGGATACCAGATGGAAGGCTTTTTTAAAGTCAAGCTATATGATATCAATCTCTTCCCCCTTGTCCAGGTGATAATAAGATTGGTCAAGCAAGACCTATCTGCAACAAACCTGTGCTGGCTATCACTCAGGATTTTGCCATTGGCCAGTCTGCTGAGAATGGTGTCTTTGATAATCTTTTCTAGGATCTTCCCTGGGATAGAGGTCAGGCTGATGGGCCTGTAGTTTGCTATATCCACTTCCCTCCCCTTCTTGAAGATAGGCAGCACGTTGGCTTCTTCCAATCTTTGGGGACTTCACCGGAGGACCAGGAATTCTTCAAAATCCATGCCAGGGGCTGGGCTATGATGCTTTCCAGCTCCTTGAGTACCCTGGGGTGTAAGCTGTCAAGGCTGGCTGACTTGAAGGTATCCAGCCTCTCAAGGTGTTCCTTCACAAGGTCAACATTGATGGAGGGTAAGGAATCTCCCTCACCCGGGCCTTCCTGTCTCATAATGGGACTGGTGAAAGACCGATGCAGAGTACTCATTTAGCAAGTTGGCTTTTTCCTGGGCGTTGGTTGTCAGTTGTCCCATCTGGTTTAGCAGGGGTCCAATGTTGCCCTTGGTTTTCTTCCAGCTCCCCACATATCTAAAAAAGGACTTTTTATTGTCCTTGATACTTGTAGCCAGTTGGAGTTCAGTTGCCACCTTGGCTTTCCCGGGTTTGGTCTCTGCAGGTCCGGACCAGTGCAGAATATTCCTCCTTGGAGGTGGATCCTGTCCTCCATCCTTTATAGCCCTTTCTTTTTAGCCACAGGAGGTCCACCAGTTCCCTGCATAGCCATGGGGGCTGCTGTGCCCTTTTGCTGTCTTTCCTCCGAGATGGGATAGACGTTGCTTGTGCATCGAGGATTGCTCCCTTGAGGAGCAACCACTCATTATGAACTCCCCTCGCCTTTGGACTGAGGCTCTCCTGAGCTTGTCAAAGTCAGCTTTCCTGAAGTTGAGGACTTCTGTATTGCTGACTGACTTGCCAGCTTTAGTGCAGATGGTGAAGGTGTGAAGGGCCTGGCAGTTGGAGTCTGTCTCCCGCTCACCATCCCTGATGGCACGCAGTCTCTGGACTGTGGCCTGGAGCTCCTCTAGCTGGCATGCCAGAGACCCCAAAAGGGAGCAGACCTCACAAGGGGAGGTGGCCATGTTCCTGGACTCCAGAGCCTGAAAAAGTGACAGGCAGCCCCCTGTTATGGAAGTGTGGTACATGTCTTCTGTTTCCCAGCTTGTGTATCTCTTGTCTTCAGACATAGTGGGCCTTGAAGGAAACTTTGTCACAAACAGGCTTTTTGAAAACAATTAACCCTTGCCTTTCCCCTGAACCATTGCTCTAATGCAACATCTACTTTACCTACAAACCAGTTCCCAAAAGCAAACCTCTAAATACCATTTTCTAGCCATCAACTCTGAGCAGTCTGTGTCAGCGAATCAGGGTTGCCCGCTGTACTGCAGGCATTCTGTCTGCAGGCTGACTGAGGGAACCTAAAAACATACTGAGATATGTATACAGAGGCCCCCATGGTTGTGCAGCATCAGCACTAGAAGCTATCTTCTCTTCAGGGATTCAGTACTTGAATGTATTTTGCCATCTCCAGGTAAATTTTTCTACCAGGAGAACAAACCCAGGAGAATTCTCCCACGTCATATGTACATGTATATACAGCCATAATTTGGATTGGTCTTACATCTGTTCTAATTTGTGCTGTGTTTTTTTAATGCAAAACAGTGCTAATACAGGGAGAAAGCAAAGGATGAGTTAAAACTAGAGGCACACCGATACATCAGGGGTGACCACCAGTATCTGGAGGAACGTATGTTCACCAGAGCACCCCAAGGGATGACGACTAGGTTGAACGGTCATAAACTACTACAAGACCGTTTCAGGCTGGACATAAGGAAGAATTTCTTTACTGTCCGAGCCCCCAAGGTCTGGAACAGCCTGCCACCGGAGGTGGTTCAAGCTCCTACATTGAACACCTTCAAGAGCAAACTGGATGCTTATCTTGCTGGGATCCTATCTGCTGACTTCCTACCCTTTGGGCAGGGGGCTGGACTCGATGATCTTCCGAGGTCCCTTCCAGCCCTAATGTCTATGAAATCTATGAAATCGGTTTGATATCGGATTAGTACTGATATGAAGAAAATTATCTATATCAGATATCAGCCCTATGGGACTGATAAGTTGGCCAATAAATACCCATGTTGTGCACAGGCACGGTGCAGCATAGAGCAGAGCCAGCAGCGTGGAGAGCTGCCTC